GTACCAGCCAGCTTCCTTCCCAACAAACTCAGCGCAGGTAATAATTAGTCGCAGCCCGCTGCTGGCTGGCTTTCCCGCCTTACCTACATAGGCGCCCCTGGCAGTAGCAGCACGCAGCACCCCCGCCATTGCAGCCAGCCCGAGCAGGCAGGGACCGATCCAGGCACGGGCTTCCGCAAACCTCGAAGACGTCACAAACCTAGAGTTTCCCAATCTTACCTTAGCAGCGACGACGAACCACCCGGCCGGCGGCGAAGGGAGGAACACTGGGAGTTCCGATAGAGCTAATTTTGAACCTCAATTGCCCTGTCTCTTTTATATTCTCCTTGCCATGACCCTCTTCAGCGTGTCCAACTTACACATCCGTCCGTGATAGACTCGATTGGCATCTTCTCCAACAAGCTCGTAACACCAAGTCTCCCCCATCCGCCCACCATGATTCTCGGCCCCGTGTCGCTGCTCGACTGCCTAGTCTTTGTCATATTCCTGACGCCGCAGCTCTTGCTCAATGTCGGCTTCTTCCCCACGGCGGTGGTGGCCATCAAAGCGTTGCCTTTTCTGCTGTTCGATTTGCCCAGCTCGCTGTTCCGCGAACGGTTCCTGCTGAGCCCGGACGAGAGGTCGCTGTTCGTGCAGCGGGCGAGCTTCTTCGAGGACCTCGTCATCCGCTGCGTGCGCTACGCCTTTGCGAACCTGCCCACCAACATCGGCCGCGTCTTCTTCTCAAAGTACATTTCGCTGCCGTTCCTACGGTTCCGCATGCTGCGGCATGGGTACATCAGATCACCCGTCAGCTGGCGTGAGTACAAACAACACGTAAGTCTACATTGCTTCATTTTCTTCACGTGTGAGATGCGGCGGCTTAGTTTTCGATGGCAGGGTCGCCATGGATTCCAGGGCGTCTGGATCAACAAGGACGCTACCAAACCACCCGATGTTGTCGTCTACTATGCACATGGCGGCGGATTCGCCATGGGCTCTGCCTACTTCTACCTCGAATTCCTCCTGTCGTGGCACGCGCTGCTGGTTCAGCAAGGCTACCAGAACCCAGCCATCTTCGCGCTTGAGTACACGCTCGTTCCCGACGAAAAGTACCCGACGCAGGTGTACGAGACCTTGAGGGGATACAAGCATGTGCTCTCCATTGCGGAAGACCCGAAGAAAGTGGTCATCGCAGGGGACTCGGCAGGAGGAACTCTCATGTTGACGCTGCTGCTGGAGCTGGGCCACATGAATGAAGCAAGAGCATTCAAGGAGAAAGGGGACGACTCGGCACCATCGGAGGGCGAAAGCCAGCAGTCGCTCCGGCGATCTTCGGAATCGCCGCTCCCAGGACTCTGCGTGTTAATTTCGCCATGGGCGCGACTGATATCAGCCAAACACGAAAACTCGGCTAGCGATTACCTTGACCGCGACACGCTGTGGAAATACGCGACACAGTACGCCGGGCACGCGCATGCCTATGACCAAACGGCGTCTCCCGGGCAGTGCGGCGATCATCGGGTGTGGGCGGAAGCTAGCCCGCCATGCGGCTTCTTCATCACATACGGATCCGAGGAAGTGTTTGCGCCGGATATCAAGGATTTGATCAACACATTGGTGAAGAGTACCGAGGTAGACAGCCGCAGCGAGGACGGCGGGATCCATGCATGGCCCGTAGTATCGCTGTTCTTGTCAAGCACAGAGGACAAGAGGCTCAAGGGTCTGCGGACACTAACGTCAGCCATACGGAAACACATTCAGTAAGCTGTCTGCCAAGGGGGCGGATGCCGGTCGGGGTCAGATTAGATCAAGTAAAAAACTGTCATGGACCGAGGCGCACAACCTCGAAACCAGAGCTGGAAGACTCGGCTTCTGCAGTCGTGTCCCATTGTTGGTCTCCAGCTATTTCTCTATCTTTATCATCATCCGTGATGACCAATAGAAGGTAGGCGCTGGGGCGGGTGCGCAAACAATAGAATCGATTTCGTGGTTTGATTACCTGCATGATTGGAGTGCGTTCCTGCATGCCGGGCCGTTGGCTAAGTGGGAGATTGCAGCGGTAGTGGCGGGATTTCTGCCGAGGGATCGCGAGCAAACATGTCAGTGTTTGCAGAGACGCGTTGAGAGATGCAGATGAGTTCTTGCACGCAGGGCCAGCCCTGGGGCGGAGACAAGTGTGACTCGCGACGAGGGGCCGTCGCAAAGCTCAGACGGGTAGGTGGTAAGGTAAGGAGCTGTTGTGGGTCTCGCGTGAGGTCATGGATGGCCTAAACAGTCAGCGACTCGATGAAGGCGACGTTTTGTGACGGGCAAGGCCATTTGACTTGGGACGATGGGGGTCCTTGATGACGGTGTGCAGCGAAAAGGGTCGTGGGAGCCCGAGGTGCAGGGAGGGTGCCAGCTCCAGGCAGCATTGAAGAGGACGGCGCGGGGTTTGACGATGTGTCTCATCGATATAAAACGAGTGGGAGCTGATGCCGGTGCGAAGCCGCGAGGTCAGACTCGTTTGGACATGACATCGCGACGTGCTATATTTGAGCTGTCCCTCTAGAGCCTACTGAGGCCGCGTGTGTGAGTGCGTGAATATTGACAGGCAAGCAGGCAACGAGAGGCGCGAGCTGAGTTGTCGTGGACGGTCAGCCAGCCAGGCTACATCAGTTAGCCAGCCGCCTCTTTCAGCCTGCTTGAGGTTACTTCGAGTGCGCCGCAAGGTACAACTGCATCCGCGAAGCTGCAATATGCAGATTGGGCCAACGGTGGGGAGGGCGAGACGCTCGCGCCGTTGACGAACTGGCAGTGTGACGGATGAGGTTTGTACTGGAAAATGGGTGAGGTTTGCGCCACGAAAGACAACAGAAAAAAAGAAGAAAAGGTGGTGGCGAGGCGTGGACAAATATCGCGGTCGGAAAGAGAAGGAAAAAATAAAAATAAAAAGAGACGTGAATTTGGTGGCAGACGACAGTTTGAAGCTAAGACGGCAAGCTTGAGTACCTAAGGGCGGCACTGGAGAAGCTAGCCGTCAGGGTATGTACTTGGGCGTGAAGTATTGGTGGTCAGGTAGAGGCAGTGTTGGTACTGGAGTGGGAAACGGTAAAGCGCGGGAGAAGAGGTCGAGGATCCTGGTCCAATCAGAATAACAGCGTGGCCCCTGCTACTGGGGGTGATTTTTTGGAGAAGGCAGAGGGGAGCAAAGGGGAGCTGTGACCCGCGACGCGCATATAAACGGTGGGCATTCCCACTGCGAATCCATCGCCTTATGAAAGGAGCCCGCTTCTGCCCACCGCGAGGTCCATGTCCACAGTCCAGCTGCCTTACACCACCCGCACCGCCTGCCAAAAGCCCACGTACCCGCTGGCCACACCTGCCATCATCACGGGGCCGTCGTCACCTTGACCTTCCGCCTCCGTCCAACCAACCGTCGCAAACACCGGACACCAGCAAGCGTAGAGCAACTGCACCTGCGACTGCACCTGCACCTCCACCTGCTGCCACTTTGCCTGGCAACTGTCTCCTGCCGCCTGCAGTTCGTGCCTGCCTGCCAGTCCGCCAGAGGCAAGCAAGCAAGACATCACGCCGCGCCTGCGTTGGCCTCACTGGCCCGTCTTGACGACATAACACGCCCATTCACACGTTTCGTCACCCCTTTTCCTTCTTGTCTCTCTTGCAGCCGCCAACAACACCTCATTGGATCACGGCCGAACATACCGCTGCCCCGCACCTCACGCCTGACGGCACCTCGACCTGCGCGCCCACCGCCTCCAACCCAGCACCCCCGAACCCAGTGCAGTTGCATCCTGGTTCGCCTCTCACACCGAAACCTTATCGTACCGAAGCTGCCATATCGCCAAAGTCTTTCCTGACTCAGCGCTCGGGCCAAATCGCGACTTCTCCATTTCATCGACGAGCTCTGTCTGTGTCGAGAGAGCGCATTGTCGCACAAACAGACCTCTTGTCTCACGGCCACGCCCTCTTCAGCCACGACTTCCCGTCGCTTCGAGCTTCTGGTACTGCCTGCATCCACCAGCCTTACCACAAACACGTTGTTGCCTGCTTCGAGGCCCGGAGACGTCTTTCCACGCTGCAAGCTGCCCCTCCCACTTTGAGGGCTGAGACTTGAGTCGCGAGAAGGCTCCTTGCGCCTGCTTGTCTGCCCTGGTCTTAACAGCGACCTGGCGCTCTTGTCGTGTGTCTGTATATCAGAGAATGTGGGAGCTTGTCGGCCTTCTCAGACGTGCCATGCTCTTCTCTGTCTTGTCGTGACTTGCTTGTGTACTTCAGCCCTGCCCATCACCTTGGCTCAGGCTGATTTGCACGCAGCTCACACTGAGACGTTTTCCCCTCCACACGCACACACAGGCACGCATCTCCATCCTGTCTCGTTCTGCATGTCATCCGCGAGTCGAGCCTACAGCATCTGTACTGCTTCTGCCTCGTTCACTGCCACCACCAAGGCGACACTGCATTAGCCCCGCGTCCCAAGGACTCCATCCCGTCTCACGCATCCCAGCAGACGTAGCGCTGGGACAAGCTGTCACTGCCTCAGTGCCTATACACACCGCACGCGGCAGCCAGGCTTAAATCAGACTCACGCCGCCGTCAACGGGAAACGCGGAACGATTGCCTTGGCCGACCCCAGTCTATATCCCAGTCCAGTCAGTTGTTTATACAACTGACGAGCATACGCCCACGCACAAGAGATTGCTCGCGTTGAGAGACGCAAGTCATTGAAGGAAACCACCCGAGCCGAACGAGAGGGGAAGCAGGTGCTTTTTGTTCTCCAAGAAATCATCCACCCCCTGTTCCTCGCTTAATCATCCTGTCTCCGCTCCCACGCTGCCATAGGCGGTCCTTGGGCATCCTTGGCCATAGCACCCCAACCCGACCCAGCCAAGCTCCCCCTGTCATTCGGCCTCCACCTTGAGGGACGAAAAAAAAAAAATAGCGGCCTTCTAATTTTTCCAGAACAGCGCCAGAGCAGTACCTAGCCGGGAGAGGGAGAGGGAAAAAAAAAAATAAAAATGGCGGACGACACTGCCTACGCTCCAAAGTCGCCAGACCTCTCTTCCTTTTATTCGGCAGCACCCGCCCCGCCTACACCTCCACAGCACAATCTGCAGCACCACCAGCAGCACCTGGACCTGAGCAAACTGCAAACTTCAGGACCTGCGCCGCCGGTATATGAATACTCCTCGTCCCCGTCGCGCGCCTACCAACCTCACCAGCCGACTTCTACTCCTGTACACATCAAACAGGAGCAGCCCCACTACCCGCCCTCTACGGCATTCAAGTCCGAATATTCCTCTTATCAGCCACCCGTGCAGCACATCCACCCGCACCACCAGCATTACCATCAACCGCACCAGCAGTACCTGTCACCGCAGTCCAACCACCAGCCGCCGCAGCCACCACCACAGCAACAGCAGCAGCCTTCTCCGCAGCAACCCCCACCAAGTCCATATGGGCAGCAACCCGTTAAATATCAAGATCAGCCTCAACACCAGTATCAACCGCCAGCACCCCAGAGCCACCAATACGTAGAGAAAAAACAGTACGGCACAACGCCCAATCTCTACGACATTCCGTACAATCCAAATTTCGACAATCAAGCTTTGCCCCAGACACCAGGTTCTGCCACCATGCCTCCAAGGAAGAACACACAGTCGGCTCCCTCGCCGCCGCCAGTCGAATCCTCTCCAGTTCGGACCAAGTTCCCCACTGCCAGGATAAAGCGCATTATGCAGGCCGATGAGGAAGTCGGCAAGGTGGCTCAACAAACGCCCATCGCCGTTGGCAAGGCCCTGGAGCTGTTTATGATTGCAGTTGTCAGTAAGAGCGCAGACATCGCCAAGGAGAAGAACTCCAAGCGTGTGACGGCACAGATGTTGAAGCAAGTCATCGAAAGAGACGGCCAATATGATTTCTTGGCCGACATTGCCCTCAAGGTCGGCGACGAAGAGAAGAGGGGTGGCCGCTCCAAGGCCGACACAGAGAGTGAGGAGGAAATGGAGGTTGAGACGAAGAAGAAGGGCAAGGGTGGTCGCAAGAAGAAGGCCACGTGAGAAAGTGTTTCTGCACATCACATCGGGGTCGAGATTATTTGAATGACGAGAACTATGAAAGGGTTATGAGGACTGGCGTTGGACTGGCTAGCATCTACATCGGCGTTGGGTGACACAACGAAAACTTGTCACTTGGGGGCACAGGGTACACGGCACGGAGGAACTAAGCGCTGCTTCCTCACACTTGCATGCCATGGACGGCTTGTCTTCCTTGTATGCGCATTGGGCCTGTCGTTGGACAGCATTCACATTCACATTCACATTTTTAGAATGAAGAGATTATGTTGCGCTTCAAGATGTGCTGCTGATACTGACTGACTTACACCGTGGGCCATCTGAAACTCACTTCTCACCAACCCGGCGCGGCGCGGCACCTCGGCGGGGTCTCTTTACTTGCCTCATGCTGTGAAATCACTGGGGGATAGGGGGCCAAGCAAGCTCGCAAATTTGTGTAATTATATCAAGATAATTTCATCTCATTCTCACAAGTCCATGGACCTCTGTCTCAAATCACCCACAAACTGTACATAGTACGTCAGCTCTCAGGGTGAGCTCTCTCGCCCCGCCCCCTATGCACCTACGTCACATATGCATATAAGACGATACCCCGCCGGCAGGGGTCATCCATCTTGAGGTTCCGAGTTACCTTAGTAAGGTAGCTTCTGTGGCCTAGCACCTCAGTCTCTGGGCAAATGTCTCCCGCCTCTCCAACTCCCGCAGGTGCCTACGGCTTGCGGAGCAAACCTAGAGGGTAGCGAACTCGGTCCCAGCGGACTGTGGCCCCTTTTTGTGTGAAGGTGGCCCCTAAAGTTCCGGTGCTCAGTCCCAACCAAGCCCGCAAGGTACCTTCCAGGCATGGCAGGCCAGGTACCCAGCAATTGCGAATTGAGCCATGCTGAGGTAACCCGGCGTACCTTAATTTGAAGCCCGAAAATTTAGGCACTTGCAACGGCGGGTCGTGCATGGCTGATGGGGCATTCCTCCCACCTTCCAAGTCACGCCCTCACATTAGTGGACAAATCGACCTCCCCAAATCCACGGCCGAGAAGGGAGCTACCTACAACTGGACTCCTTTAATACACCGACGAGCATCCGGCCACCTCACCGCGTGTACCTACCCTACCTGTCCTTCCGCCGACTCGACGACTCGATCCATTGTCTTGCTTGCTGCATCTGCAAATCTGCGTGCTGCTCTGCGCAAACCGACCTCCAAACATATGAGCTTCTAGAGCCATGCGAAACCGTCCCTCTCGCTGCAAATCCCGTTCATGTCCATGATCAATGAGGCACCGAGCCTCACTGTACTTGCATCCTTCTTTCCGCTTCGTGGCGTAACCAATGTCGTGGGACCTGCTCAAGCGATTCCTTGAGTCCGACGTTTTCAACTCGAACCCGTTTCTCTCCGTCTCCTACCTATCGTGAGCTCTTTCCCCCTCCTCCCAGCATCTCCAAGTTGTCGCAGCGTCCGTTGCGCCCCCAATTGGCGCTGACACATGACGTCGGACACTCAAAACTGACCCCTTTGTGATGCAGCCGGTACGCCGACCATGTGGGAATCCACTATGTCCTTTGCAACAAGCTGCGACAATTCCCTTACGAGGACATTGAATTCTTCCTGCCGCAGCTATGCCATCTTATAATTAGCGTCGACAATGAGTCCATGGCCCTGGAGGAATTCCTCCTGGACCTGTGCGAGGAGTCTGTGACTGCCGCCCTCCTTGTGAGTTACCCTCCGTCAACCCATTGCGCCGCCGCGCTTCCGTCGATGGCTTGTCTAATGTCACTTTCTAGACCTTCTGGCTCTTCCAGACCTACCTACACGACCTATCATCCAATCCTCAATCCAAGTCCTTCCAAACGTGTCGTAGGGTGTACAACAAGGTGCAGCACATCGTGTTCGGTCTACCAGATGCCGCGCGGCATGACAAGATTAAGGAAAACATTTTGCCAGTTACGGTTCTTGCAAGCTTCGTCTTGGCCAGTGTCGCGGTCCCTCTCGTCCCGCATTGGGCGGGACCCCTCGCCGTTGCACAAGCCAGGAAGCCTCAACCATCCGACGACCTGATATCCAACTCGCAAACACAGGACAACAACCCCAAGGTGACACGATCCCAGACGGTGACGGCCGCGAGCAGCACAAGGTCCAAGCGTGCGAAAGATGGCGGGCGCATCACGAGCGCTCCGGACCTTGTGATTTCGAACTTGCCTCACCGGGCGACGGACCCGTCGCCAACGCCGTCGCGCCAGGGTTCGTCGGGCTCGAGGACTCCAGTTGAGGTCAAGAGGTTGCCGTCACATCTCGAGATGAAGAACGCGGACGCTCGACTTAGTTCATCATCACTGCCTCTTCCCGAGCTGCGGTCCCCACGATTGGCCATCACCCGGCCCGCAACTCCAGTGTCTGCAGGACTTCCGCCACGACCGAACGACGCTCTCAATAGGAGACATTCTCATCATTTCAAGAGCAGTGCCGCCGGCGCCGAATTGACACCGTTACAGAAGACGAGGCTTTTGCGACAACACTACTTCAGGTGCGAGACGCAGTTTTTGACGGCGCTTGAGGGGATTTCGAACCGGCTAGTCATTGTGCCGAAGCCTGCCCGCCTCAGTGCGCTCCGCGCGGAGCTGGCTCTCATCGCACAGGATCTTCCGGCCGAGGTGGATGTTCCAGTCATCTGCCCCCCGACGCTTGTCGATGGCTCTCCCGCGAAGAGTAGACACCATCGAATTGTGCGCTTGAACCCGGGGGAATCAACAGTACTTAATAGTGCGGAGAAGGTGCCATATCTTCTTATGGTTGAGGTGCTGAGGGATGACTTCTCGTTCGATCCAGAGACGCCAGACAACAAGAGGCTTTTGTCGACTTTGCTTACGGAGCAGGGCACCAATCGACGCATATTTGACCTGTCTGACTCGCCGCGCATACCCATCGCGCCTAAAACTCCGGAGCCCGTCATCGACAGTGTGTTCGAGCCCGTTTCCGGCGACCTGGGAAGCTCTCCTATGTTGAAGCCATTCGATGAAGATGCATCTTCGAAGTTCCAAGCCAAGCAGGCTTCGCCGGCGCAACCACAACGTCTCCCAAGCAACACTAACACGATGTCGAGTACAATTTCCGACAACATGACCACTCCACGCAGCTCAGGCGCCTCTACCTCGAGGTCTAGCAGTCCTCCGGGCCCTCTCCGCAAGATGACGCTATCAGGCCGTGGTGCTCCAGCAGCCGAGCAGCCCGACTTTTCTGCGCTCGCGACGCATATGCGCACAGCCTCACAGATGTTGGCCCAGCTTGAGGCTACGAGCGGCAAGCGGCCAAGACATGAGGTGCAAGCTATTAGGGCAAAAATCATTGCGAGTATGCAGAGTCTGGAGGAGCAGAGCTTCGATATGGATGAGCAGGGTCCAACATTTGACACGATCATGGCCAAGGCCTCTACTGCGCAGGCGGCGCAGGCTGCTGCCGTTGCACAAGTAAATGCTGAGCCTGAGGTGGAGAGCGAATCACCTATTGAGCCAGGGGCCAATGCCGGTGCTGGACTTGCGAGAATGGAAAACGACATCAAGACCGGTGGTATCCAGACCAAGGGTGACCGTGACGATCCGAGCGCAGCAGTCTTTGGTGAAGCCTGGGAGGCCAAGAAGGAGCGTGTCCGCAAGACGTCGCCTTATGGCTGGATGAAGAACTGGGATTTGGTTAGCGTCATCGTTAAGACGGGGGCCGATCTGCGTCAGGAAGCGTTCGCTTGCCAGTTAATCGACGTTTGCCACAAGATTTGGGTCGATGCGAAGGTTAATGTCTGGGTCAAGCTCATGCGCATTCTCGTCACGGGAGAGTCGTCGGGCTTGATTGAGACGATTACCAACGGCGTCTCATTACACTCTATCAAGAGAAGTCTGACTCTGTCAATGGAGGCGGGTCCGGGCCAAAAACGTCGATTCGCCACTCTCAGAGATCACTTTCTCAAAGCGTTTGGTGCCGCAGATAGCGAACCGTACAAGGCTGGAGTAGACGCCTTTAAGCGCTCGCTCGCCGCGTACAGTATGATATCATACATCTTGCAGCTCAAGGACAGACATAACGGTAATGTCCTGATCGACAGCGAGGGCCATATCGTTCACATCGACTTTGGCTTCATGTTGTCCAACTCTCCGGGATCCGTTGGCTTTGAAGCAGCGCCTTTCAAGCTGACGCAGGAGTACATTGAGGTGCTGGGCGGCATTGGATCTGATGACTACGAAGACTACAAGAAACTCTGCAAACAGGCTTTCCAAGGTAAATTACGTCCCACCAGGAGTCTTTTTGAAAAAAAAGCTAACCTCTTCAGCCTTGCGGCGGTCTGCGGATAACATCATTGATCTGGTGGCCATGATGGGACGTGACTCGAAGATGCCCTGCTACTCTGCCGGCGTAGCCCAAGCTACGCACAACCTTCGCCAACGGTTCCAACTGCAACTCAGTGCGGACGAGGCGGAGCAGTTTGTCGAGACTGACTTAATCGGCAAGTCTCTCGGCAGTTATTACACGCGGCTGTAGGTCTTCCACTACTCTTCATGCACATCCAATTGCTAATGCCCGCCAGCTACGACACCTTCCAGTATAGAACGCAGGGCATCTACTAGATGAGTGATGAAGGGACTTGGTCAACAACTCGTGCATTGGGGCATTGGCATGCATCTAGGCATCTGGGCGGCGTTGTGGTTGTATAGACGACTTGCTGATAATGAAGAGCCGAGGAATGATCTCTCGGACACACATGACTCGACGGGGAGGCAGCGTCTTAGAGGTATAGCTTGCCTCTTGAGGAGATAGGATACCGAATAAGATGAATGATATCCATATGCATGGTTTCTAGCACCTGGTCCGAGTGCTGTGCGTGCAAGTAAGGCTATGATCTACGAGCAGTTTGCCACTGGTGGATGATGCTCACAGCCACATGATACTCGGAAAAGGAGCATGTAATATGTTCCATGTCTCCGAACTGACTCTAGTAGTCTTGACT